GAATAATTGAATATTATATGTTTTATAATATAATATTTTGAAAAAGTTTTTTTAGCCTTTATTATAAATAGATTTAATTATTGTTTTTTATATTTTTACAAGTTTATAAATAGTTAAAAAAATAAAAAAATTAAAAATTTATATTGAAGATTGAAAACTTTTATTTTTTTAGTTAAAAATGAGAGTTGGTTTTAAAGAAATTCATTTATTTTAAATAATTTAATTTGTAAATTTTCATTTATTTATTAAGCTATTTATAAAATCACAAAAATAAATAAATAAATATGATATTCATAAATATAAAAATAATAATAAATCTATATATAATAGAGCATATTATTTTTTAGTATTCAAATACTTTAAAATTAATCCTATTTTTTGACCACTTGTGTATCATCATCAGAAATATATTTTAAAGATAACTAATCTTTTTGATTTAACACTCATGTTTACTACTTTAAATTATTATGATTCATTGATTTAGCTAAATCTTTTATTATAAATTAAAATATATAATAAAAAAAATAAAATAAAATTATTTAGTTAAAAATTATGATTTTACTTTAATAAAAAATAAAATTAGTTGTTTTAAAAAGAAAAAGATAAATAAATCAAATAAAAGCTAATTAACAAAATTAAAACTCTATATTGTTTTAAATTAAATTAAATTTTATTATTAAAAAGATCACAATCCAAAATAATTATACTGAATTTACCTAAGAAAAAGTATCAAATTAGAGAGATTAGTGCAATTTGCTAAAGCAGAACCGAAGCGTGTTGCACCAATTTCACAAATTTAATTTTCACTTTTTAAATATTGAAGGAAAAAAATATAATTAATTAACTATTTTGAAGGAAAAAATGAAGAAAAAAAAAAATGAAATAATTAATAAGATTAATTAATTTATAATAAAAGCAAATGATGAAAATAAAAATGAGTTAAATTAAGAAAGATAGAAGAAAAATAAAGCAAATAAAATAAAAATAAAGATAAATAAATCAAATAAAAAGTAATTAAAAAATTAAAACATCTATATTATTTCATATTCAATTTACTAAGTAAAAATATCAAAAATCCAAAACAAATAGACTGAATTTACCTAAGATCAAGTGTCAAGTTTGAGAGATTAGTGCAATTTGCTAAAGCAGAACCTAAGCATGATGCGCCAATCGAACCAATTTAATTTTATCTTTTTAAATATTGAAGAAAAAATATAAAAATGGATGAATTAATAAAATCAAATATTGAAAATAAAAAATGAGTTAAACTAAGAAATAGAAGAAAAATAAACTGGTAAAATAAAAACTAATAAAAAAATTAAAAGAAATTATAAGTTAAAATATCACAATCCAAAACAAATAAACTGAATTTACCTAAGATCAAGTGCCAAATTTTTGAGATTACTGCAATTTGCTAAAGCAGAACCTAAGCCTGAAGCACCAATTGCGCCAATTTAATTGGATCTTTTTAAATATTGAAGAAAAAATATGTAATTAATTAGTTATTTAGAAGGAAAAATACGAAATGAGTTAATTAATAAAAGCTAATAAACAAAAAAATTAAAAGAGCTAAGTTGTTTCTAAATTCAATTTTTTTAATAAAAATATCACAATCCAAAGCAAATAAACTATTTTTACAAAAGATAAACTGTCAAATTTGAGAGATTTGTGCAATTTGCTAAAGCAGAACCTAAGCGTGATGCACCAATTGCACCAATTTTATTGGATCTTTTTAAATATTGAAGAAAAAATAAATAATTAATTATCTATTTAGAAGGTATAAATGAAGAAAAAATATGAAATAATAAAAAATTAATTAGTTAATAATAAATGCAAACATCGAAAATAAAAAAATGAGTTAAATTAATAAAAATTAAAAAATAAAAATAAACAAATTAAAAGAAAAATTTTTTAAATTCAATTTTATAAGTAAAAGTATCAAAATCCAAAACAAATAAACTATTTTTACGAAAGATAAAGTGTCATATTTGAGAGATTAGTACAATTTGCTAATGCAGAACCTAAGCCTGATGCAAAAATTGCACCAATTTAATTTTACCTTTTTAAATATAGAAGAAAAATTTTTAAATTAATTAGTTATTTAGAAGGGAAAAATAAAGTAATAATATGAAATAATAAGAAATGATTAAAAATAAAAAAATGAGTTAAACTAATTAAAAGAGCTACATTATTTAACAATCAATTTTTTAAGTAAAAATATCAAAATCATAAACAAATAAACTATTTTTACGAAAGATCAAGTGTCATATTTGAGAGATTAGTGCAATTTGCTAAGGCCGAACATAAACCTGATGCAACTTAATCGCCAATTTAATTGAATCTTTTAAATAATGAAGAAAAAATATGGAAGAAAAATAAACAAAAGTAAAATAATGAAAAATAAATCAAATAAAAAGCTAACATAAAAATTAAATGAGCTTTATTTATTATTTAAAATTCTATTTTTTTAGTAAAAATATCACAACCTAAAACAAATAAACTTTTTTTACGAAAGATCAAGTGTCAAATTTGAGAGATTAGTGCAATTTGCTAAAGCAGAACTTAAACCTTATGCACCTTAATCACCAATTTAATTGAATCTTTTAAATAGTGAAGAAAAAAAAAATCATGAATTATTTAAAAGGTGAAATGATGTAAAAATATGAAATTATAAGAAATTAATGAATTAATAAAAGCAAATGTTGAAAATAAAACTGAGTTAAAATAAGAAAGATAAAAAAAATAAACACATAAAAAATTAAAAATAAAATAAATCAAATAAAAAGCTAATAAACAAATTAAATTAGCAAAATTATTTTAAATTAAATTTTTTTAGTATAAATATCACAATCAAAAACAAATAAATATTTTTACTAAAGATCAATTGTCAAATTTGAGAGATTAATACAATTTGCTAAAGCAGAACCCAAGTCTAATGCACCTTTTGCACCAATTGTATTGGATCTTTTTAAATATTGAACAAAAAATATATCATTAAATAATTAATCAGAATGAAAAAAATGAAGAAAAATATGAAATAATAAAAAATAAATTTATAAATAATAATAAGAAAATATCGAAAATAAAAAGATGAGTTAAATTAAGAAAGATAAATAGAAGAAAAATAAACACAAGTACAATAAAAAAGAAAGATAAAAGTAAATCAAATAATTTCAAATTAAATATACCTAAGATTAATATGGAGAACCTAATGTGATTATAATGAAGAGTTTAAAAACTTTTTATATGAGTAAAAGTAAATTTAAAATATATTGACAAAAAAATAAATAATTACTTCTTCTAATTTTGTAAAATATTTAATCTGTTAAATCATTTTTTTTTCGAGGATTGAAAAAAAATTTCTGGAAATTTAATTAATTATAATTAGCAAAAAAATAATAAATAAATAAATGATATAAATTTAAATATTTGCTTTTATTTTAGTAAGAGAAAACAATCTGAGCATTTTTAATGGGGGTACCAAAAAAAAGTTTTTTTAGGTAAGCATAACAAGGTCAATTTTACTATGCTAACATTTTTAAAATTAAAAAAACAAATTTTTTCTTACCCCCCCCCTATTAAAAGCTTTAATTTTTTTGTTAAAATGAGGATGCTTTTAGCTAAATTCATTCATTTATTTAAGTAAATTTAATTTGTAATTTTCATTTATTTATTTAATAAGCTATTTATTAACTTTCAAATTAAATATAATATTCATAAATATAAAAATAATAAAATCTATTTATCTATGTTTATTTTAGAAAAAATTATCTTATTACAAAATATAAAAGAATAAAACATGTTATTTTCTATTATTCAAATATTTTATATTTATTCATCCTTTTTCACCATTTATTTATCAGAATCATGATAACTTCATTTTCAAGATAACTAATCTTTTTGGTTTAAGACACTTTCTTTTGAATTTCAATAATTATGATTTATTGATACTTTTTTTTTATATTGAAATAAAATAAAATACTAAAAAAAATAAAATAAAATTAATAAAAAAGATTAGCAGAATAAAAAATTAAAAGAAAATAAATTATATAAAAAGCTAATAAACAAATTAAAAGATTTAGTTATATTGTTTTAAATTTTATTAAAAAATACCACAAAAAAAAATAATTAAATAAAAATGGAAAAGAAAACTGTTTTTACGAAAGAGATAGTGTCAAATTTAAGAGATTAGTGCAATTTGCTAAAGCAGAACCTAAGAATAATGCACCTTAATCGTTAATTTGATTGATACTTTTTAAATATTGAAGAAAAAATATATTTATTTAGAAGGAAATTATGAAGAAAAAATATCAAATAATAATAAATAAATAAATAAATAAATAAATAAATAAATAAATAAATAAATAAGAAAATGTTGAAAATAAAAGAATTAGTTAGATTAATAAAGATAAAATAAGAATAAACACAAATACAATAAAAAAGAAAAATAAATAAAAAATAAAAAGCTAAAAAACAAATAAAAAGATTTATATTGTTTTAAATTCATTTTTATAAATAAAAAGATCACGATTCAAAACAAATAAACTATTTTTACCTAAGAAATAGTGTTAAATTTGAGAGGTTAGTGCAATTTGCTAAAGCAGAACCTAAGACTGATGCTCCTTAATTGCCAATTTTATTTTACCTTTTTAAATATTGAAGAAAAATATATAATTAATTAGATTTTTAGAAGGAAAAAATGAAGTAATAAGAAATAAATTAATGAATAAATAAGAAAAGCAAATTTTGAAAATAAAAGAATGAGTTAAATTAAGAAAAATAGAACAAGGATAAACACAAATACAATAAAAAAGAAAAAGAAAAATAAATTAAATAAAAAGCTAATAAAAAAATTAATATTTAAATTTCTTTTTTATAAGTAAAAATATCACAATCCAAAACAAATAAACTGTTTTTACCTAAGATAAAGTGTTAAATTTGAGAGGTTAGTGCAATTTGCTAAAGCTGAACCTAAGTCTGATGCACCTATATTGCCAATTAAATTTCTACTTTTTAAATATTGAAGAAGAAAAAATAATAAAATAATAATAAATCAATTAATAAATAAATAAATAAGATAAGCAAATATTGAAAATAAAATAATTAGCTAAATTAAGAAAGATTAAAGAAGAATAAACAAAAATACAAAAAAAAGAAAAAAATAAATAAATAATAAAAAGAGTTATATTGATATTCATTTTTATAACAAAAATTATCACAATCCAAAACAATTTTTTTACTCAAGATTAAGTGTCAAATTTGATAGATTATTGCACTTTGATAAAGCAGAGCCTAAGCCTGATGCACCTGTTGCACCAATATAGTTGCTACTTTTTAAATATTGAAGAAAAAATATATAGTTTTTTAGAAGGAAAAAATGAAGAAATAATAAGAAGTGAATTAATAAATAAATAAGAAAAGCAAACGTAAAATAAAATAATGAATTAAATTAAGAAAAATTGAAGAAGAATAAACACAAATAACATAAAAAAGAAAAATAAATTAAATAAAAATATTTATATTGTTTTAATTTCATTTTTATAACTAAAAATATCGCAATTCAAAAAAAAAAAAAAATTATTTTTACGCAAGAGATAGTGTCAAATTTGAGAGATTAGTGCAATTTGCTAAAGCAGAACCTAAGTCTGATGCACCTTAATCGCTAATTTGATTGCTGCTTTTAAATATTGAAGAAAAAATATGAAAATATTATAAATGAATTAATAAAATAAATAAATAAAAATATAAATAAATAAATAAGAAAAGAAAATATAGAAAATAAAAGAATGAGTTAAATTAAGAAAGATAGAAGAAGAATAAATAAAAATACAATTCAATAAAAAATAAAACAAAAATAAATTAAATAAATACTAATTAACAAATTAAAAGAGTTAGTTATATTGTTTTAAATTCATTTTTATAAATAAAAAAATCATAATTAAACAAATAAACTGTTTTTACCTAAGTTATAGTATCAAATTTTAGAGATTAGTGCAATTTGTTAAAGCAGAACCTAAGCTTGATGCTCCTTAACTCTAAATGTAATTGTCACTTTTTAAATATTGAAGAAAAAATATATAATTAATTAATTATTATATAAAAAGAAAAAATATGAAATAATAATAGAAAAATAAATAAATAAATAATAAAAGCAAATGGTTAAAATAAAATAATGAGCTAAATTAATTAAGAAAGATAGAAGAAGAAAAAAAATATATAAATACAATAAAAAAAAGAAAATTAAATTAAATAAATAAATAAAAAGCTTGTAAAAAAGTTAAAAGATTTATATTGTTTTAAATTCATTTTATAACTAAAAATGGTCAAAGTAATGTATTTATTTCTACAGTATGTCCCCATCTTATTATATATATATTTTTTAATTTATCTAACACTATATGCAAACTATCTATTTTTACATATGCAGTAAAAACTCTAATATAAAAATTTATAATATCTTAGGAAACATTTTAAAATAAAATATTAAGAAAATAATTAAGATTTAGAAAAGAAAATATTCATGATCAATATAATAATTATTTAAAATATCATATAAATCATGATATCAATATTCGTGATATTTCAAATGCAGGAACAGCAATAACTATATGTAAATAAATTATCATAATGACATATATGTAGGTATAATAAGATGGGGACATACTGTAGAAATATATTATTTTGACCTTAAAAAGATCACAATGCAAAACAAATTAACATCTTTTACATAAGATCAAGTGTCAGATTTGACAGATTAGTGCATTTTGCTAAAGCAGAACCTAAGCATGATGCACCTTAATTGTCAATTTAATTGCTACTTTTTAAATATTGAAGAAAAAATATAAAAATAATTAGTTAGTTATTTAGAAGGAAAAAGTGAAGAAAAAATATAAAATAATAAGAGATGAATTAATAATAAAATAAGAAAATCAAATTTTGTATATAAAAGAATGAGTTAAATTATGAAAGATATAAGAAGAATTTTAGCACAAATACAATAAAAAAGAAAAAGAAAAATAAATTAAATAAAAAGCAAATAAACTAATTAAAAAAGATTTAAATTCATTTTTATAACTAAAAACATCACAATTCTAAAAAAATAAATACAAAAGATGAAGGGTCAAATTTGAAAGATTAGTGCAATTTGATAAAGCAGAACCTAAGCTTGATGCACCTGTTGAATCAATTTAATTCCTACTTTTTAAATTTGAAGAAGAAAAAATATGAAATAATAAGAAATAAATTAATAAATAAGTAAGAAATACAAATTTGGAAAATAAAATAATGAGTTAAATTAAGAAAGATAAAAGAAGAATAAGCACAAATACAATAAAAAGAAAAAGAAAAATAAATTAAATTAAATAAAAATCTAATATACAAATTAAGATTTATATTATTTTAAATTCATTTTTACAACTAAAAATATCATGATTTAAAACAAATAAACTGTTTTTACGTAAGAACAAGGGTCAAATTAGAGAGATTAGTGCAATTTGCTAAAGCAGAACTTAAGGCTGATGCACCTGCTGCACCAATTTAATGTTACCTTTTTAAATATTGAAGAAAAAATATTTAATTAATTTGTTATTTAGAAGGAAAAATGAAGAAAAAATATGAAATAAGAAATGAATTAATAAATAAATATGAAAAGCAAATGTAGAAAATAAATAAAATGAGTTAAATTAAGTCAGATAGAAAAGAATAAACACAGCTACAATAAAAAAGAAAATAAAAAATAAATAAAATTAAAAGCTAATAAACAAATCAATATTTAAATTCATTTTTCTAACTAAAAATATCGCAATCCAAAAATATAAACTGTTTTTATCAATTAAAAGCTTTAGAAGGAAAAAATAAATGAATAAAAAAATGAAATATTAAAAATTAGAAAATGAATAAAAATTTTAAATTCAAAATTATTTTAAAATAAGAAAAAAACATTTGTTTTAACAAAATGAATAAATATATGTGATAATTTCTATTCGTAAAATAATATTTTAAATAAATTGAAAGTTAAATATATACAAAATATTAATAATAAGAAAAAAAATATTTATAAATTAAATATACATCAGATTAATATGGAGAACCTAGTGAGATTAAAGTGAAGATTTTAAAAACTTTTAATATTAGTAAAAATAAATTTAAAGTATTTTGATAAAAAATAAATAATTACTTCTTCTAATTCTTAGTAATATTTATTCTATTATATCATTTATTTTTTCCCTCAAAAATATAATAATAGCAATTAACACAAATTTAATTAATTATAAGGCGATAAAAAAAACAAATCAGTTATATGAATTTATAAATTTGCTTTTCATAATAGAAATCACAAAAGAATTAAGATAACTAACATTCATTACTAAATCTTAATATTTCATTTTAGAATGTCTACTTAAAAATATAGTTTGAACCAGAGATTGATTGGATATAAAGGATAGTTAGAATGTAAACTCATTAGAATAAAGTAAATATTTAACATATTTAAGTGAATTTTTGTAATTATTGTTCTTTTGAATTTTATGGAAACACTTCATATATTTAAATAGTATATCTATTGTTAGATAATTCAAAGTTTATCTTATAAATGAATGATTAGATCAATAAAAAAATAATGTAAAAAATACAAAATGAAATAAATTATATTTCTTATTTAATTAAGTAATATTTTTATAATTAATTTGTAACTCCATATTTATTTATTATCTTTATAAAGGAGATTTATACATATATTTAAATTATAAATATATATATAGTAACTTAGGGAACTGCCTTTTTCAAAGCTTCACACTGAAATTTTAAGATTTAAGGTAATTATAAAGATCAAATATTAAATCAGAGTTAGCAAATTATTAAATATTCTTAAGTTAAAATTTATAATATATAAATATAAAAAAATGAGTAAAAATACATGTTTTATATTTAAAAATGTTTAGATAATGAGCATAAATAATTCTAATTATAAAAACTATTTTTATCAGACTATTTTGAAAGGATTATCAAAATTTATTATTCGAATAATTTGCGGATATATCCGAATAATTTCATCGGATATATCCGAATAAAAAATTAAAAAATTTAAAATACGGATATATCCGTATATTTTTAAAGGATAGTAAAAATTGTTTATCCGTAACATCTCTAGTCTAAATCATGCGGAGTCTCTATTCTTTCTTTCCTTTTCTCTGTTTAATCTAGAATGTAACCTTGTCATCTTTCTTCATAAGGATTAAGCTTACATGTTTACATGTTACATTTTTAATACCAAAGCAAATTAATAAATTGATAATTGGTAATTAATTATTAAACTTTATTTGTTCTTTTTCTCCATTTATTATTAATTAATTAAATTCGATAAATTGCTATTCAATATTTTTGAAAAAAAATTAATGATTTAATAGATTAAAAGATATTACAAATTAGAAGAAGTAATTATTAATTTTTTTATTAATATCGTTTAAATTTATATAAATTAATAAAAAAAGTTTTTAAGCTCTTCACTTTTATCTCATTAGGTTCTCCATATTAAACTGAGGTAAATTGAATTAAAAAATATTGTTTTTATTATTATTTATATTTTTTATATATTCAACTTTCAAACTATTTAATTTTCTAATAGAAATTCTCATCATTATTCATTGATTTTTATTTATAAAAATTTTTTAACTATTTAACTTAATTTTTATTTTTAATTTTGATTATTCATTTTTTATTATTTGATATTTTTTCTTAATTTTTTGCTATTAACACTTACACTTGATAAAAATCGTTTATTTATTTTTGATTTTAATATTTTAAATTATAAAAATTAATTTAAATTTTAAAAGCTCTTTTAATTTATTTGATTTATTTCCCTTGCCCTTTTTATTATGCTTACTTTTATTTTCATTCTTAGTTAGTTTAGTTATTTATTATTATTAATCTTATTATTTGATATTTTTTCTTCATTTTTTCCTTCTAATTTACTATTTAATAATATATTTCTTAAATAATTAAAAAGTTTGAATTAAATTTGTTATGAAAGTGTGTTAGGTTTAGGTTCTGGTTTAGCAAAGTGCATTAATCTCTCAAATTTGACACTTGACCTTGAGTAAAAATAGTTTATTTGTTTTAGATAGTGATATTTTTAGTTATAAAAACTAATTTAAAACAATAAAGCTCTTTTTTCTTTTTCTTTTTATTGTGCTTGCTTATTTTTTTCTTTCTTTGTTAATTTAACTCATCATTTTATTTTTCACTTTTGCTTTAATTGTTAATACATTTTTTTATTTCATATTTTTTCTTCATTTTTGCCTACTAATTAACTATTTAATGTTATATTTTTCTTCAAAAATTAAAAAGTAGCAACAAAATTGGTGATGAAGGTGCATCAGGCTTAGGTTCTGGTTTAGCAAAGTGCATTAATCTCTCAAATTTGACACTTTTACTTTCGTAAAAATAGTTTATTTGTTTTAGATTGTGATATTTTTAATTATAAAAACTAATTTAAAAGAATAAAGCTCTTTTTTCTTTTTGTTTTTATTGTAATTGCTTTTTATTCTTTCTTTGTTAACTTAACTCATCATTTTATTTTCAACTTTTGCTTTTATTATATATTTTATTTTTTTATTTCATATTTTTTCCTTCTAATTAACTATTTAATGATATCTTTTTCTTCAATAATTAAAAAGTAGCAACCATATTGGTGATGAAGGTGCATTAGGCTTAGGTTCTGGTTTAGCAAAGCGCATTAATCTCTCAAATTTGACACTTTATCTTTAGTAAAAACCGTTTATTTGTTTTGGATTGTGATATTTTTAATTATAAAAACTAATTTAAAAGAATAAATATCTTTTTTCTTTTTGTTTTTATTGTAATTGCTTTTTTTTCTTTCTTTGTTAATTTAACTCATCATTTTATTTTTAGCTTTTGCTTTAATTGTTAATACATTTTTTTATTCTTATTTTTTCTTCATTTTTGCCTTCTAATTAACTATTTAATGTTTTATTTTTCTTCAATAATTAAAAAGTAGCAACAAAATTGGTGATGTAGGTGCATCAGGCTTAGGTTCTAGTTTAGCAAAGTGCATTAATCTCTCAAATTTGACACTTTCACTTTCGTAAAAACAGTTTATTTGTTTTAGATTGTGATATTTTAATTATAAATACTAATTTAAAAAAATAAATATCTTTTTTCTTTTTGTTTTTATTGTAATTGCTTTTTTTTCTTTCTTTGTTAACTTAACTCATCATTTTATTTTCAACTTTTGCTTTTATTATATATTTTATTTTTTTATTTCATATTTTTTCTTCATTTTTTCCTTCTAATTAACTATTTAATGATATCTTTTTCTTCAAAAATTAAAAAGTAGCAACAATATTGGTGATGAAGGTGCATCAGGCTTAGGTTTTCATTTAGCAAAGCGCATTAATCTCTCAAATTTGACACTTTATCTTTAGTAAAAACCGTTTATTTGTTTTGGATTGTGATATTTTTAATTATAAAAACTAATTTAAAAGAATAAATATCTTTTTTCTTTTTGTTTTTATTGTAATTGCTTTTTTTTCTTTCTTTGTTAATTTAACTCATCATTTTATTTTTAGCTTTTGCTTTAATTGTTAATACATTTTTTTATTTCTTATTTTTTCTTCATTTTTGCCTTCTAATTAACTATTTAATGTTATATTTTTCTTCAATAATTAAAAAGTAGCAACAAAATTGGTGATTTAGGTGCATCAGGCTTAGGTTCTGGTTTAGCAGAGTGCATTAATCTCTCAAATTTTACACTTTATCTTTAGTAAAAACCGTTTATTTGTTTTGGATTGTGATATTTTTAATTATAAAAACTAATTTAAAAGAATAAATATCTTTTTTCTTTTTGTTTTTATTGTATTTGCTTTTTGTTCTTTCTTTGTTAATTTAACTCATCATTTTATTTTCAACTTTTGCTTTTATTATTAATTTATTTTTTTATTTCATATTTTTTCTTCATTTTTTCCTTCTAATTAACTATTTAATGATATCTTTTTCTTCAATAATTAAAAAGTAGCAACCATATTGGTGATGAAGGTGCATCAGGCTTAGGTTTTCGTTTAGCAAAGTGTATTAATCTCTCAAATTTGACACTTTCACTTCCGTAAAAACAGTTTATTTGTTTTAGATTGTGATATTTTAATTATAAAAACTAATTTAAAAGAATAAATATCTTTTTTCTTTTTGCTTTTATTGTAATTGCTTTTTTTTCTTTCTTTGTTAACTTAACTCATCATTTTATTTTCAACTTTTGCTTTTATTATTAATTTATTTTTTTATTTCATATTTTTTCTTCATTTTTGCCTTCTAATTAACTATTTAATGATATCTTTTTCTTCAATAATTAAAAAGTAGCAACAGTATTAGCGATAGAATAGAATAGAAATACTCGCACATAAATATGCACTCAGAATACATCTTAAATAAGATATTTAATAATAATTATATATATTTATAATTATATTATTTTTTTTTTTTATAAACATTTGAAACAACACTAAAACATTGAAACATAGAAACATAAAAACATAGAAACATAAAAACACAAAAACAAAACACACTATATCCTAAATTTTTTAAAAAAATATAATCTCTCAAATTTGACACTTTCACTTAAGTAAAAACAGTTTATTTGTTTTAGATTGTGATATTTTTAATTATAAAAACTAATTTAAAAGAATAAAGCTCTTTTTTCTTTTTGTTTTTATTGTAATTGATATTTGTTCTTTCTTTGTTAATTTAACTCATCATTTTATTTTCAACTTTTGCTTTTATTATTAATTTATTTTTTTATTTCATATTTTTTCTTCATTTTTACCATCTAATTAACTATTTAATGATATCTTTTTCTTCAATAATTAAAAAGTAGCAACCTTATTGGTGATGAAGGTGCATCAGGCTTAGGTTCTGGTTTAGCAAAGTGCATTAATCTCTCAAATTTGACACTTTCACTTTCGTAAAAACAGTTTATTTGTTTTAGATAATGATATTTTTAATTATAAAAACTAATTTAAAAGAATAAATCTCTTTTTTCTTTTTTTTTTATTGTGATTGCTTTTTTGTTCATTCTTTGTTAATTTAACTCATCATTTTATTTTCAAATTTTGCTTTTATTATTAATTTATTTTTTTATTTCATATTTTTTCTTCATTTTTTCCTTCTAATTAACGATTTAATAATATCTTTTTCTTCAATAATTAAAAAGTAAAAACGAAATTGGTGATGAAGGTGCATTAGGCTTAGGTTCTGGTTTAGCAAAGTGCATTAATCTCTCAAATTTGACACTTCGTCTTTAGTAAAAACTGTTTATTTGTTTTGGATTGTGATATTTTTAATTATAATTTAAAAGAATAAAGCTCTTTGAATTTATTTGATTTATTTTTTTTATCTTATTTATTCCAATAATATTATTTTATTTATTTATTAATTTAAGAAATAATTTTTAATTTAAAATTATATTTTATTAAATATTTATTTAAACTTTACACACATTTATAATAAAAGTGATAACTAAATGAATAAATCATAAAATTTCAAAGTAATAAACGAGTGTCTTAAATCAAAAAGATTAGTTGTCTTTAATGAAATATTATGCTGATAAACAGCTGGCGAAAAAAGGATGAATGAATAAATATTAAATATTTGAATAATTGAATATTATATATTTTATTAAATAAAATTTGGAAAAAGTTTTTTTAACATAAAAGAGATAGATAGATTTTATTCTTGTTTTTATTTTTATAAATATCATTCATATGTTTTTAAATAAATAATTTATAAAAAATAAAAAAATAAATTTTACTTAAATAAATTAATTCCTCTTAAATAGCGATGACTATTTTTTTAAATTACAAAGTGCTGTATTTTAAATATTGAATATCTTTTGAATTATTTAAAATCTTCTGAACATTATGATTTTAATTTTGAAATATAAATAAAAATGTAAGATAATAAATTATTTTTAGAAATAAAAATATTTAATTATATATATAAATACTTGTTAGAGTAATTAATTTATCTCATATTTCAACCAAATCATATGCTATTTAAGGAATATAATTTAAAGAATACTTATTATAAAGCTTCTCTAAAGCATAGAGAGATAAAATTTATGACTGAACTCTTTTAATTAATGCATTTTTAGAACCATATAGAATAGAAATCAAGTATTAATTAGTTTCGTTGAAAATGTATCCTTTCATAATTCTTTGAATAAGCATAGAAGGTATATCAAAATATTCTGAATGTGCATTTAGATAGTAAAGAATTGAAAAGTCTATTTATTCATAGCTAATAACCAAATCTTGGAGATGATAAACACACTTAATGTAATATATGTTATACATATCTACTTTCACATTTTTTTTTAATTATTTACTATGTATTATTTTATGAAATTCGTAATAATCCTCACAATATTTGCTTTTGCATATTAAATTTTCACTTCTTTAACTGAGATCTGCATCATTATGAAACTTTGAATTGCTAAAAATTATTATTATATTTTTTATAAACTTTAAATTAAGTCTACATAAAAGCTCATTAATATTCTGCAAACTTTTATTTTATTTAATAAAAATTATTTTAAGACTTTAGTTTTTTTTAATAATTTTATGCATAAAGAGGAAGAAGTAAATTAAATTGCAAATAATTATTAGTAAATTATTTATAAAAAATATTTATGTGATACTTTGATTATTTTTTAAATCTAGCAATGTTTTCCCTCCAACTAAAACCATAAAAACGATAAATCTAATTATTTATGCAGTAAAATTAGCAATTAGTGTTACAAAATCTCTGTATTTCAAGTCTAAATAAGTACACCTATTAGCTAAAATACTCATAATTATGTCAATATGAGCATAATATATTTTATCTTTTCTCAAGTAGTAAATAATAAAAGCGTACTAAAAAGCAATAATAATTAAGTTATAGTAGAGCAATCCCTTTTCTATTTATGAATAAAACAAGCTATTCAAACTAAAATGGAATGTAAATATTGATATGAAATGCTTTAAAATTTTTTTAAAATGCCTTTTTTAGCTAAATTCCATGTAAAATGATACTACAAAAGAATAGAATACGATAAATATTAAGTAATTAGCATAACCTAAATATCTATAATTCAATTCTATTCTCTAATTATCCAATAATTGCAACCCAAAAAAGAATGTAAATTATATCAAATATTGAATTAACCCTTTTGTAAGAAAGAATCTAATTGCCAAAGCTATTTCAGTTTATTTGTTTATTTTATCAGCAAAAATAGTATAAATCCATCCAATATTTAAGAGATCCAAAAAAGTAAAAGCAAATGAGTATAAATTCCTTTATAAGAACCCAAACAAATTTATTAACAATTTATCTATGCAAAATACTACAAAATAAATGATAGAGTACCAAGTATCACTGCTTTAGTATATTTTTATACTAAAAATAATGTTAAGAATATCAAGAGAATAACCTAATATCAGTAAAATCGTTAATTTTATTTTATACTCACCACAAAGTGGTAACATTTTTTTACTTTTCTTATTTTTTCAACTTTTACTTATTTGTTTTTTATATTTATTTATTTATTTATTTTTTATTTTTTAGCATTCAATGTATGAAATTTTAATTGATGCATTTAGAAGATTTAACAATTTTGTTTTTCCTTTTATTTTAATAAAGAATAATTGTCAATTGAAATTTTTAAATAGTAAAATATCTGATAAACACCTAAACAAATAATTTCAAAATTGAAAAAAACTTTTTTGAAAAATAATATATGAAAATAAATATCAAAATATCATAATATTAAATATTTTTTAATCATTAATTTATGAAATATTAATTGATACTGGTAACTCTCTTTCAAATATCACTTTTATTTGCTTAAAAGTATTATTTGAAAAATATTCGTTTGAATTCAATTTTAAAAATTAAATCCTATTGAGGCTTAGGAGTTAGAGCTATTATTTACAGTATATATTGGTAATTAGTAGTCCTGTTAAGTGTTTTATTGCGATAAATGCGTAAATTAAGACTAAAATTTTAAAGGGACAGACTGAATTTTGATTTCACAAATCTTTAAATCCTCTTAAGTTAATTTTATTAAGAAATAAATATTTTGTTATATTTTAGTCTCATTTTGAAAATGAGTAAATTCTCAAAATGTATATTCAAATATTATAAATAGAGGAATCATAATTTATATTAATAAATGGCTAGAAAAAAAACCCTTTTTAAGAAAAGGAAAAATTATTTAAATAATATTAATCTCAAATAGAATCAAAAAGAAATAGTCATTTAATAGCTGAAACTTCTACTTTCATAATGTGATCAATATCAATATTCAATCAGCTTTCACAATTCAAATGCACTAATTAATTGAGTTAATTTTATTTTTACTTGATCACTTTAATTTAGCTAATCAAATTCATGAATTTAAAATAATAGCATTATTAATTATTATTTGGTTTCTTAAGGTTTAAATCACACTTAAATCTAGTTAGAATTGAATGAGTCCAACTTTTGTGCAAAATAATTTTTGGAATAATTAAAATAAATATGGATAAAATTAATCCTATTTTTAAAAATGTCATCATTTGAAAGTAAGTTTTAATAGAATAAATAGTCAAATAGGTTCTCATAAATAAGTAGAGCAGAATAGGACAAAATAAGTGAGTTCATATAATATCTTATATTGTTATAAAATGATAATTTTAGCTTAAAAATTTAATTATCAAAAAAATTAAAGAATCTGTTTGAGTGTTTGAAAACAAAACAAATTTTTTTCAAATTAATTGAAAGATATTCTAAGTTGTATCTATACTTTACTCAATAAAATTGATAACTTAGAAAGAAGAAATGTTCAATTGCTAAGAAATATTTGATTTTCTTAAAATCATATAATGAGAAATCATGCAAGATTTAGTTGAATTGTAATAAAAAAATAAATAAATATAAAAAACAGCCATTAAATCTAAAGCATCAAGCAGCTTTAGGTCTGAAAAACTTCGATTTTACCTGCAAAATATTAAAAAATTAACAATAATACTTAGGTAAATTTATAAATAGTATTACTTAAATACATACAAATTGTATTTCGAGCTAATTTTTTGATAAATTTTTGAAATATAATTTTAGAATATAATTAGAAGCACTCACTCACTTAATAAAAGCAGTAAAGTTTTTAGAATTTTTTTGATTCAAAAATCAATATAAAACTTGTTAGATGTATTATTCAATAATAAGTAGTTAGAGAGTTTTTAAAGAATAGGAATTTGTTAAATATATCAAAAGAAATATATTAATAGCTAAAAAGATAATTAAATAATGATTGAAGTATGTATATAGATGAATAGATGGATGGATGGATGGATGGCTTGGAAGTTAGATCTTATAAATATTAGATTACCCTAATTGTCAATTTTAAATTCAGATAAACGAAGAATACACAAAGAATTTGATTAATTTGAATGATTGATTAATGCTTATATTTCTGTGAATGCAAAGATGATAGTAATATACTATCAAGAAGGCTTTATTCGTAGAGGGATTTTTAAAAATTATCTGGAATATTTATTTATTTAATAATTTATGCTACATATGAACATAATTTAAGCTTAATTAAGCTCAAAATATTTAAAAAAAAAGTGTTTATTGTTATGATTATTGATTGACATTTTTTGAGAAAATAATAAAATTATAGATTAAATATTATTCATTAACATATAATTTATTAAGTATTTTATTAATCAATTAATTTTCTTGTTATTATATCTTTATTTTAAAATAGTTTCTTTATATTAAATTTCAATTGATCAGATTGTTTTAGATTAATTTACTATTTATTTAATCATTATCTTCTTAAAAGGAAAAGTTTATTATTAATTACAAATAGATTTTATTTAGTAATTATTAATAAATTATCCAAATCTTAATTAAGAAATAGCTAGCTAGTTAGATAAATAACTTAGGAAATATAAATGGATTAGACTCACAATAAATTTTACTAAACTTGTAAAAAACATTCACAAAATTAAATTATCTTTCTTAAGGTTATTAGCGATTAAAGAGATTCTTCAATATTTTATTGCATGGATTGCGTAAATGAAGATTTAAGCTTTAGAGTGTTAGATCATATATTGGTTCCCTAGATTTTTTCATAATCTGAAAAAAATATCATTTAAAAATGGCCTCCTGTCAATGATTACTCAATACTATAAAAATTAAGCTAAGAAATATCAAATGATAATTCTTCAAATTCACCTATTCAATAAATTAACCATTTCTTTGATGAGTTAAAAGTTGAAATTATTAAGAAAATTGACTTCTGCTAAAAGAAAATGATCAATTAGGCACTCGATCTACCTTTAGGAAAAGAATAAATCCTCAACAAGTACAAAGAGATTTCACAAATAGAAACTTTAAGATAAATACTAGGCAGCTATTAAGATTAATTTGAAAATTAAGAAATAAAATGCAGAGCTTTTTTATCTGAAATTGAATCCAAAAAAGAAGAAAATACTCAGCAACTTCAAAATCTACTTGAATAGTGCCAGAGAAAAAATTAATTAATTAATATTTAAAAATCTATGACTATTAAACAATCAATCTATACTTTAATAGATTCAATTAATTTCTTTCCAAACGATTCCAATTAATTTAATTAAAGCAATATCAATCCTCTTAATAATCAAAAACTTAGTAGCACTTAACAAATAATTGAATTAGTTTCTAATAAATCTAATTTTTGTTCATAGGAATTTTTGGAACAATTGAGAGTAAATCTCGAAAATTTAGATGCAATATTTAATTAAATATCTTTTGAGAATATGTTTTAGTAAAATAAATAGCCTATTCGATTTTAAGAATTAAATAATTAAAAAGTTGAAGAAATTAATGAATATATTGACCATTTGATAAAGTTGTAGAACGATTAAATTTATAACTAATAAATTTAATCTTCAGAGCTATTAAGCAAAATATTTTAAGTTGTTGATAGCAAAATAAACTTCATAAGCAGTGATGTAAAAATATCATTGAAAGATATTTTTGTTTAAATATATCCTCTGCTAAACAAATTGGGAGTCCAAGAAATTTTCAGCAGTCAAGGAGAATTTGAATTAGTTAAAAATATATCTGATGTAATGCTTTAAGATTTTATATTAATTTTAAAGAAAAAACAAGAGATAAATATTTAGAATACTTATTACCAAAGTATTTCAAATTTTATCAAATAATAAGTAGAAACCAAATTTCCATTATTAGAAAGAAATGAGTTAGAAAGGGTTCTTCAAAATTTTCCAGTATTTGATATTGTATAAAAAAAAACTAATAAATAAATAGATATTTTAAAAAATTTTGAAATGATTAAAACAAATTTAAATGATGGAAAAAAGAAAATTCAAATAATAAAAAACTTAAACTCAACCTATGAAATATTTACAAATTAATAATAATAATTATTTGGATTATTTAATAGTAGTTATTTAAATTGTATTTCTAGTAATATACTAGAAAAAGACAAAAAATATGTCATTAGAATTCAATTAGAAGTTACAGATCAAGATGAACATTATTTCTATATTGGTTTGATGTAAAAATCTTAATCAGATTTAATTATAGGATATGATCAAAATCTCTCATGTTAATTTAATAAAACAAGAGGATAATTTGAGCATATTGTTGGAAAGGGAATAGATAAGTATAAGAAAGGAAATAAATTAGTTTATTAAGATGATTATAAATTAATATTAGAATTACGAGTATGTTTAGGAGGTAAGGTATTGTAAATTTTAGACTATCCTAAATATGAGTATTTATTAGAGCTAGATGATAAATTCAAAAATAAATTGATTGAATATGATGATCTTTGTTTATATTTATATTTATGTAGAGAAAACAGAAAGTATATTATTAAAGAAGCTTACTAAGTAGATCAGTTTGATTTTTGAGCAATTTTTATATAAAACTAAATCTTTATTACTAAAAAATAATATAAAAATTATAAAAAATGTTATTTTTTTTTGTAATTATTTAATTTAATTTTGTATATCTATAGTAATTAATTCCTTTCTCATAAAAATATTCAATTTCATTTTTTTATGATTTTTACTTTTAAACTAGCTATTTTTTTTGTAACAATTAAACTAAATTTTGGATAAAAAATAATTTTAAGGAATAAAAAAGTTGTTAAAAGAAAAAATTAGTAATTTCTCATTAATAAAACTAAAAACCTTTTAATTTTTAATTTAAATAAATATTTTTAATTTTATAAGATACAAAATAAAATTTTAGATGATACATAAATGTTCATAAATCTTAAAAATATTAATTTTGAGATTATTAATTTTAATGCAAAAGAAAAATTTTAATGATAAAGAGCAAAATCTAATTATTTATAAAAACAATTTAATCTGATTTTTTCGAACAATAATATTTTACTTAAAAAGGAACCCAAACTTTTTTTCATTACATTTTTGAATAATAAAATTAATTTTACCTGTAATTAAAGTAAGATTATACAAAATATATTTTCATATAAAACTTTCATTAAATTAAAATAAAATACATTTATTCAAATTGCATGACAATTAAATCTTTTTTTTCTAACATTTATTTTTACAATGCATACCTTAATTTTAATCTAAATTAAAAATGAATTAGTTTTTGAGTAAAAATTATATTTATTTATTATTTATTGAATTAAATTAGATATCTAGCTAATTTAAATTTAATCAAGCTTAAAAGAAAATATTTGAGGAAAACGAATATAAAAAAATGTTTTTTAGAATGTTTTTTATCTTTTTTATAAGTATTTGCTCTTATTTCTACAAATTGTTAACATAAGTATATAATATTTTGATTAAATAATTAAAATAGCTATATCAAAAATTTATTGATTAGTTAGTGATGAAGATCTTTTATAAGAAGAAAAATTATTCTGACACGAATTGTGTTTCAAGTTAAGTTTTTGATAAATCCTTGAAATATATTTTTAGAATATAAATGTAAATATCTAACAAAAGCTTGATGTAAACATCTAAAAAATCAGATTTTTATATGATCAAAACTTTTCATTTTAAATAGACTTCAATGATTTTTTAGAATTTACTATCTATTTAATCATTTATATTTTTAAAAGGTAAATTTATTATTAATTACAAATAATTAATACTTAACATTTCTTTAGTTGATTTTATTTAGTAATTATTAATAAATAATCTAAATCTTAATTAAGAAGTAGCTAGCTAATTAAATAAATAATTTAGGAAATATAAATGGATTAGACTAACAATAAGTTTTACTAAACTTGCAATAAGCATTCTCAAAACTAAATTACCTTTCTTAAGGTTATTAGTGATTAAAGAGATTCTTCAATATTTTATTGCATAGATTGCGTAAATGAAGATTTAAGCTTTAAAGGAATAGAACATGTATTGATCCCCTAGATTGTTTCATAATCTGAAAAAAATATCATTTAAAAATGGCCTCCTGTCAATGATTACTCAATACTAGAAAAATTAAGCAAAGAAATATCAAATGAGAATTTTTCAATTTCAGCTATTCAATAAATTAACAATTTTTTTGAAGAGCTAAAAGTTGAAATTATTAAGAAAATCGACTTCTGCTAAAAGAAAATGATCAATTAGGCACTCAATCTACCTTTAGGAAAAGAATAAATCCTCAACAAGTACAAAGAAATTTCACAAATAGAAACTTTAAAATAAATACTTGGCAACTATTAAGATCAATTTGAAAGTTAAGAAATAAAATGTAGAGCTTTTTTATCTGAAATTGAATCCAAAAAAGAAGAAAATACTCAGCAACTTCAAAATCTACTTGAATAATGCCAGAGAAAAAAGGAATTAATTAATTTTGAAAAGTCTATGACTATTAGACAATCAATTTATACTTTAATAGATTCAATTAATTTCTTTCCAAACGATTCCAATTAATTTAATTAAAGCAATATTAATCCTCTTAATAATCAAAGACTTAGTAACACTTAAAAAATAATTGAATTAGTTTCTAATAAATCTAATTTTTGTTCATAAGAATTTTTGGAACAATTGAGAGTAAATCAGGAATATTTAGATGCAATATTTAATTAAATATCTTTTGAGAATATGTTTTAGTAAAATAAATAACCTATTAGATTTTAACAATTAAATAATTAAAAATTTGAAGAAATTAATGAATATATTGACCATTTGATAAAGCTGTAAAACGATTAAATTTATAACTAATAAATTTAATCTTCAGAGTTATTACGCAAAATATTTTAAGTTGTTGATAGCAAAATAAATTTCATAAGCAGTGATGTAAAAATATCATTGAAAGATATTTTTGTTTAAATATATCCTCTCCTAAATAAATTGGGAGTGCAAGAAATTTTCAACAGTAAATAAGAATTTGAATTAGTTAAAAATATATCTGAAGTAATGCTTTAAGATTTTATATTAATTTTAAAGAAAAAACAAGAGATAAATATTTAGAATACTTATCACCAAAGTATTTCAAATTTTATCAAATAATAAGTAGAAACCAAATTTCCATTATTAGAAAGAAATGACTTAGATAGGATTCTTTTAAATTTTCCAGTATTTGATGTAGTAAAAACTAATAAATAAATTGATATTTTAAAAAATTTTGAAATGATTAAAACAAAGTATAATGACGGAAATGAGAGAATTTAAATAATAAAAAACTTAAACTCAACTTGTGAAATATTTATTAATGAATAATAATATTTTGGAATATTTAAAGGTCAGTTTTCAAATTGTATTTCTAGTAATATTCTAGAAAATGACAAAAAATATATCTTTAGAATTCAATTAGAAGTTACAGATCAAAATCAACATAACTTCTATATTGGTTTGATGTAAAAATCTTAATCAGATTTAATTTCAGGAGATGAACAAAATCTTTCATGTAAATTTAAAAAAAGAAGAGGATAATTTGAGCATTTTATTGGATTGGGAATAGATTAGTATAAGAAAGGAAATAAATTAGTTTATTAAGATAATTTTAAATTTATGTTAGAATTAAGAGTATGGTTAGGAGGTTAGGTATTGTAGATTTTAGACTATCCTAAATATGAGTATTAATTAGAGCTTGAAGATAAATTCAAAAATAAATTGATTAAATATGATGATCTTTGTTTATATTTATATTTATTTGAAGAAAACAGAAAGTATATTATTAAAGAAGCTTATTAAGTAGATCAGTTTGATTTTTGAGCAATTTTTATATAAAAGTAAATCTTTATTACGGAAAAATAATATAATAATTATAAAAAAATGTTATTTTTTTTGTAATTATATAATTTAATTTTGTATATCTATTGTAATTAATTCCTTTCTCATAAAAATATTCAATTTCATTTTTTTAAGATTTTTACTTTTAATACACTTAAAAACCAAAAATTTTCTAAAATGGCCTTAATTAATGAGAAATAAAATTAAGGTATCAGAATTATTAAATTTTTTAGAATATTTTTTATAGTATTTTTTCTTATTTTTACAGATTTTTAAAATGAGTTTATAATATTTTTATCAAATAATTATAATAGCTCTTTTAAAAAATTTATAGGTTAGTGAAGGAGATCTTTTATAAGAAGAAAAACTTATTTTGACACAAATTGTGTTTCTAGTTTAATTTTAGATAAATCTTTGAAATATATTTTTAGAATTTAAAAAGAATCATCTAACAAAAGCATTAAAATTTTCAGAATTTGTTTGATTCAAATACCTAAATCAGATTCTTAGATTTATATGAGAAAATTAATTTTTCAGTTTAAACAGACTTTAATGATTTTTACTATTTATTTAGTTATTTATATGTTTAAAAGGTAAAGTTATTATTAATAATTACTAATAACTAACTCTTAACATTTCTTTAGTTGATTTTATTTAGATTATCAAAATTTTAATTAAGAAATAGTTAGATAAATAATTTAGGAAATATAAATGGATTAGACTAACAATAAATTTTTAAAAACTTGCAATAAGCATTCTCAAAACTAAATTACCTTTCTTAAGGTTATTAGTGATTAAAGAGATTCTTCAATATTTTATTGCATAGATTGCGTCAATGAAGATTTAAGCTTTAAAGGAATAGATCATGTATTGATCCCCTAGATTATTTCATAATCTGAAAAAAATATCATTTAAAAATGGCCTCCTGTTATTGATTACTCAATACTAGAAAAATTAGGCAATGAGATATCAAATGAGAATTCTTCAATTTCAGCTATTCAATAAATTAACAATTTTTTTGAAGAGCTAAAAGTTGAAATTACTAAGAAAATTGACTTCTGCTAAAAAAAAATGATCAATTAGGCACTCGATCTACCTTTAGGAAAAGAATAAATCCTCAACAAGTACAAAGAAATTTCACAAATAGAAACTTTAAAATAAATACTAGGCAGCTATTAAGATTAATTTGAAAGTTAGGAAATAAAATTCAGAGCTTTTTTATCTGAAATTATATCCAAAAAAGAAGAGAATACTCAGCAACTTCAAAATCTACTTGAATAGTGCCAGAGAAAAAAATAGTTAATTAACTTTGAATAGTATATGCCTATTAAATAATCAATATATACTTTAATAGATTCAATTAATTTCTTTCCAAACGATCCCAATTAATTTAATTAAAGCAATACCAATCCTCTTAATAATCAAAGACATAGTAACACATAAAAAATAATTGAATTAATTTCTAATAAATCTAATTTTTGTTCTTAAGAATTTTTGGAACAATTGAGAGTAAATCTCTAATATTTTGATGCAATATTTAATTAAATATCTTTTGAGAATATGTTTTAGTAAAATAAATAACCTATTAGATTTTAACAATTAAATAATTAAAAATTTGAACAAATTAATGAATATATTGACCATTTGATAAAGTTGTAAAACGATTAGGTTTATAACTAGTAAATTTAATCTTCATAATTATTAAGCAAAATATTTTAAGTAGTTGATAGCAAAATAAACTTCATAAGGAGAGATGTAAAAATATCATTGAAAGATATTTTTGTTTAAATATATCCTCTCCTAAATAAATTGGGAGTGCAAGAAATTTTCAACAATTAAGAAGAATTCGAATTAGTTAAAAATATATCTGATACAATGTTTTAGGATTTTATAGTACTTTTAAAGAAAAAACAAGAGATAAATATTTAGAATACTTATGACCAAAGTATTTCAAATTTTATTAAACAATAAGTAGAAATCAAATATCCATTATTAAAAAGAAATGAATTTAAAGGGTTCTTCAAAATTTTCCAGTATTTGATATTGTATAAAAAAAAACTAATAAATAAATTGATATTTTAAAAAATTTTGAAATGATTAAAACAAATTTAAATGATGGAAAAAAGAAAATTCAAATAATAAAAAACTTAAACTCAACTTATGAAATATTTATAAATTAATAATAATAATAATTTGGATTATTTAAGAGTGATTATTTAAATTGCATTTCTAGTAATATACTAGAAAAAGACAAAAAATACATTTTGAGAATTCAATTAGAAGTTACCAGTCAAGATGAACATTATTTCTATATTGGTTTGATGTAAAAATCTTAATCAGATTTAATTTAAGGATATTAGCAAAAGCTTTCATGTAGCATTAAAAAAATAAGAGGAGAATTTTAGCATATTAATGGATAGGGAATTGATTAGTATAAGAAAGGAAATAAACTAGTTTATTATGATGATTTTAAATTAATGTTAGAATTACGCGTATGGTTAGGAGGTTACGTATTGTAGATTTTAGACTATCCTAAATATGAGTATTAGTTAGAGCTAGAAGATAAATTCAAAATTAAGTTGACTGAATACGATGATCTTTGTTTATATTTATATTTATTTTCAGAAAACAGAAAATATATTATTAAAGAAGCTTTATAAGTAGAGGAGTTTGATTTTTGAGCAATTTTTATTTAAAACTAAATCTTTATTAAGAAAAAATAATATAATAATTATAAATGCTATTTTTTTTGTATGGTTTAAAAATCTACTTTTTACATCTATTGTATTCTTATAAAATATTTTATTTTATTTTTTTATAAAAAAAAACTTTTCTTATTTGATTATTTGAAGAAAACCCACCACGAAAAAAGTAAATCGGTGGAAATATATTTTGATTACATCAAAAACAATAAATGAATTATAAAAATTAAAAGTAAATAAATTAAATGAACATTAACCAATTTTAGTTTAATAAAAAAGTAAAATATTTAATACAATTTATTTGTTGATAATTTATTTAAAGATATTTAATATAAAACTTAAGCTTTTTTATTTATATAATTTTTGCAAGCATATTTCTTCAGAGACAACTTTTAATGGTTTATTGAGCTTTCAAGCACCTTTCACTGTTAAGATTACACCAATTTTATTTTTTTATAAAATCTTTAAGCGCGTTAAAATCTGATTTCTTCAAAAGATTAATGATTTCACTATTAGAATTGCATTTTTATTAGTTTGAGAATATCATATCTGCCAAAACATTGACTATGCAAAGAGGTGCTGAGTTAGTCAAACCAAAGCATTTCTAAGTATTTTGTTTTGTTTATTCAATATATTCTTTGAATATTTGTTCAGCTTCTATTTTAGTTATAGATAGACCATTTGCCTTCATTACATTAGCATCTTTGTTGTACTTTTTCAAAATGTTATTTATTTCAAATGCATCAATAGACTGAGTTAAAATCTTATTCTGAGGAGTAATTACTCTGATAAATTGATTTCCTTAATTTTCATTAGCTAAAATGTAATCTTTTGTTTCAACACAAGTGCATTTAGCAGAGTTTTATACTGGACCAACCTTTTCATTATATTCCTAGAACATAGAATCAGTTTTATCTATACTTGTATCTTACTCAACTACTTAGATAACTCTAATTTTTTAGACTACGTAAGAACTTAGAGAGTTTGTTAATTAAGAATCACACCTCTTTAAGTACGCATTTTATTCAGTTGAAGCACCGTACAAACTTATTTTCTCAGCTTATGTTATCTACGAATTGTTTACATTCAAAACCTTTTCATATTTAAAATATTAATGAAATTTTTTAAAAAAATTTAATTTACCTCAAAGAAAGCATTTCCTAAATACTTTTGCACAAGCATAGCTCTTTAAACAGCATTTCCATCTAAATCTTTTCCGCACAAATACAAAATAAAGTATTACTTTGTTGTTGTATTCAACGTGTATTTAGAGTTATTAACGAGCTGCTCTATTTCATAAATAGTGTTTTAATTAACATTCTAGCTCTATTAAAAGCAACTTAATGGGGTCTACTTTGTAGAGGTTAGAACTATTTCTTTCAGTGTCTAGACAGTGATTCCTTTAGAGCTATCAGTTGAAGTAAAACCATCTACTAAACTATCTAATTATGAAAGACAATACAGTTGATTACAGCTGAAATTCGGGGTTGGTCTAAATATATAGCTAGAACTGAACAAATTATTATTAATTGCATATTCTGCTAGTGTTTGAGGATTTACATCAGTACCTGTATTAGATATTTAAGCTCCAGATTAAGATAAAAGTATTGAGTAGATAGTCAATAAATCTCCATTTTTACCGATAGTAGATTAAGAAATTTCATTGTCATTACAAGTTTAGTCACTATTTTTGAGGTATTTATAACGGTTTTTGAATTCTTAGAACGTGCATGGCTTTAAATTAGACATCATTTTGACATCTTTCCATTTTGGATCATTGCTTTAATATATTTATGAAAATTCTACAGCATAGTTTTGCTATGAAGTTGGTGGCAAAAACTATTTGCAATTTTACAAATTTCCATATATCTCATTTTGAGAAAGGATATTCGATTATGGTAAAGGATTAGATACAAAGTCACCACATTTTCCATTGTTATCTGGGAATATTTTATTACCAGTAGCACAAGTCAAGCAATTATTTTAAAGAGGTCCAGAGCATTTTTAGCAAGATGGATGACATGGAGAGCAAGTTTTGCGATTATCATTCCAGTAATAAGTTGGCTCGCATTCAATACAAGAAGAATCATCATAGCAATTAATACAATTATTTGTGCATTTATTGCATTATTTTGTTGAAATATTCCTTTTTTTTAATATAAATAATTTATGAAATCCTAATGAATTGAATAAATTACCAATATTATTATTTAGGACATCTGCTACTGGCTTCTTTTTTGATTTAGTCAGCAGCAATTAAATCAGAAGTGTAGCTTTAACTGATTTCGCATTCAATAAAATCATTGCCAGTCAATTTAGGTTAATAATAAAGAGGACATCTATTATAACATCTTTATCTCTCTCCCCTATTTAATTTTATGAGTAAATAAAAAAAAATTAATATTTAAATAATTAAACAATATGAATGAATTATGGTTATTTACTCTTTCACAAAATATTTTAGATCAGGATTGCACTTAATACAAAGATCAGAAGAGTCAATACATTCATCGCATGAAAAATTGCATTCTTTTATTATTTAAAGATGTTATTAATTAGTTAAAGTATGAATAATTAATTAATTAATTTAAGATTTTACCTTTCAAAGTATTAGTTCTAGGATCTATAAATGTCTTAGCTTTGAAAGTTGGTGTTAAATCAAAGTCGTTGAGAGAACATCCTTTTCCTTCTCTAGAAATTCAAAATGTAATTAAATTTTGTTTTTAATGAATACAATTTAAATATTTAAAACAGGTAAAAATAAAACTCGCAAAAAAGCTAAATAAATAAATGAATATAGCATAAAATGAACATTTATTTTAATTAAAAACAAATTACTCTAAAATAAAGCCATCTGAACATTCTTCGCATTAAGAAGGATGAGGACCAGTGCATTGTTAGCAGAATTTAGAACAATCAAGGCATTCCTTGTTTGAATAAAAAGTACCAGGTTAGCATTTTAAACATTCATTATCTACAACATGATATCCCTCAGGGCATTATTCAACGCACATTCCTTAAAGCAAGTAAAAATCCTAATGACATTAGTTACAAAATACCAAATCTTTATTAGAATCTGTTAATAAATCAAGAAAATATATTATTATTGAAAATTAAATTTTGGTAAACTAAATAAATAAATAAAAAATTAAGAGTAAAAATTTAATCAAAAATAGGAAATAATAGATAGATAATTGAATCATTATAATACTTTTCTTAAACAAAAAATTAATTCAGTGCTTAAATGTTTATTTGTTTATTTTTAGTATTTTTAAGTCATCAAAATAAATCTATAATTTGCATTAGTTTAAATTTAATAAAATATCAATTAATTAATTAATTAATTTACCATAATCGCAATTGGAGCAGTTGCTCATAGAACATTGAGTACAAACATTATTTTTCAAAAAATACCCTTCTTTACATGAAACACATTATTCATAGTCATTTGAGCAAACAACACAGTTTTGAACATTACAATTCCAGCATACATTCTCAAACCCGTTTACATCAGTTTATAAAAGCTTGCTTTCAGTCAACTCGTCATAAATTCCTATAAAATATTAATTAATTAGTTCATTAATTTAGAAAAATACAAAAATTCTTTGATAAATTAATTATATTTTTTTTTTGTTCTATTGAAAGTTATTAGATTTGTTAATTAATTTTTGTAAAAAAAATGTAATGGATGAAAATTTTAAGATTGATTGATTTACAGTCAATTATTTTTTTTATTGAAGCAATATTTAAGCTAAAAAATATTTTAAGATTAATTTTATTTTTTTACCAGTTATTTAGAGTTAATCATTAGGATTGTTACAATTCCAAAGAATTTAAAATAATTCAACATACACTTTAGTCCCAGTCCAAAAGTCCGGATCAGTGTTATTACGCTAAATATTAAAATAATAAATTAGTAATTTATTAACTTACTTTTAATTTCACAATTATTAAATTTAAAAATCTGGAATGAATAACAAAAAATAATTAAGAAATTAATTTTAATTTATTTATTTAAATTATTATTTCTTAAATTTGATGAAATAAAAATATTCTATTTTAGTTTTCTTTAGATTTATTTTTTTTAAATTAATTTTTAGCAAAAATAAAATTTTATGAAAAAATGTTAATAGTTTTTTTATTTTTAAAATGATTATTTATTTACATTGATTAGAGTAAATCTTTCTTATAGTTAAGAATTAATTTCTTTTTTTCTTTCATCACATACTGTTCTTCCCATGCAAAATAAGCAATTATCATATGTACCTAATCTTGCTGCAATATTTTTATCTCCACAATTAGATGTTTATTCAGATAATTTTTTGTATAGTATGTATTATGTTAAAGAAACTCGAGCGTATTCAAGCTTTGGTTGAGCTTCATGATTGGTTTCGAAATAGCTATAAATCATATAAACATTCTGCTTTTCCTCACCTATTTTATTGAAATTTTTGATGTAATCCTCAACAGCTTCGTGATAATAATAGCACGTATATGTTTATGAAGCAAAAGTTTTAATTTATTAAAGTAAATTATCTCCATAATTAAGAGAACAATTATCTTAAATTGCATCATTCAGTGTTTCAGCTCTTGATTCTTAGCAAATTAGAAGAATGATCAATGATATGTTAAGTATATTTCTTTCTATTCTCTCTCTAGAAAGATTAAAGAGGGTCATATCCAAGTATTTTTGTTAGTTAAATTCTAGTTTGTTTAAGATTATTTAGCAAATTAGAGAAAAAAAAAGATATTTTTTTATTTTTTTCAAACAGATATTTTTTTTAATATTTATTCTTAATATTTTAAATAAACCAAAGTTGACTTTTAAATTAGTTAAGTACTATGTTAAGAATGAATTTCATCAATTTAATTTATTAAAAAATAATATAGAATAACATAAACGATTTCTACCCTGAATTACTTAAAAAATATAAAATGCTTCTGTATGAGAAAAAGCTGTTTTAAAAACGAAGGCTAATAAAAAAATTTATTTTTAGAAAAATGAGATAAAAAAATAATATTTATTTTTAGAAATAAATATAGAATCAATAAATAAATATATAAATGTATTTATTTATTTATGTTTTAAATTTAAAAGCTCATTTGCAATAGTTAAATTTAAATAAAATATTTATTTAATGCTTAGAGTTTTTAACTTTTAGTTTACAGCAGCCATTTTAATTAGGATTTATGCTAAAAATTTTAGTGTATTCTACAGCTTTTAAGTATTATTTATGTAATTTTTTGATCAATCTTTTTAACCTTAATTTAACTAGTACTGCTTTTTTTCTAGCTATTAATTCACCTATTTTTTGACTGAATTTATTGGTTAATTAAATTTTAGAAAAGATTAAGGCTATTTTAATTCAAGTATTTTTCTTACTTTTAATTCCCTCCCTACTAGACTTAATATGAATTTAAACAAACAAATTATTGATTTTAAAGAGAATAAACTAGGTTTATTGAATTTAGATTACACTCTCTATTATATAATTTTTATTTTTTTATTCTATATAATTTAGATTGTAAGCGTGTGTTTTTTAAAATGAAAATCTAAATATCTAAATATCTATCTATCTATCTATCTGTTTGTTTTTGTAAAAAATGCAATTTTATTACAGATTGTGAGAATAAGTAATAATTGTAAGTTAAATATTTTATACTTACTGGAATCTTTAATTAAGTACTTCTATTTTTAATTATACTGATACTATAAATAGTAAAATTAATTCAAAGTGAAGAGTAAAAATATAAAATAGACATTGATATCAATGTGAATAAGTATGAATAAAGAAAATAATAATATTATAATTCCCAGCTTTGTCATTTCATTTATTAGCTCAAATTTAAGCTCGATTGAGAACAGATGAATTGATTTTATAGAAATACTATTTTATACTATTAATTACAAATATATTAATTGCTTATTATAAGACATATAAATGCTTTCTTTGTGCTTAAAATTTGTGTTATAGAAAAAATTAATTAAAGTAAAAATATAAAATAGACATTATATTAATGTGAATAAGTGTATGTAATAAATAGTGATAAATAAAGAAAAAATAATATTATAATTCACAGCTTTGTCATTTATTAGCTCAAATTTAAGTTTGATTAAGAACAGGTGTATTAATTTTATAGAAATACCATTTTATATTATTAATTACAAATATATTAACTGCTTCTTTTTAAGGCATATAAATAAATGCTCTGTGCTTAAATTTCATGTAATAGAAAAATATTAATTAATCTCAAATGCTTTTAATGATTGTAAATTAATTTTTATGAATTATTTCTAACTTTATAGCGTCTCAATATTTATTTAATTTTAATATTTTTATGATTGTCAGTCAGTCCTATTGTTTTAAAACAAATTTACTTTTTAAAATATTTAAAATTTAATAATTTAAAATAAAAATATAATTTTTAATTACAAAAATAGTAAAATATCATGCTTTTTATTATATTTGAGATATTAATAATTAAAAATAATAATAGTAAATAAATAAATAAATAAATAATCTCAAATAGTTTAAATTATGTTTATCATGGTGAGTGAAAAACTCTTCTTATTAATTGGTTTTTACTTTTAAAGTATATTTAATTATTTAGTGAGGAAGAAATTTAAAAATATTTTTTAACACCCAAAAAATGAATCAGCAAAGACAGAAGGATTAAGTTAATAATATTTAAAGAAAAATAATTAATTATTAATGTTGTTAATTTAAATAAATTTAATTCATAAAGTTAGTGATATTTTTTAATTTTTAAAAACAATTAAAAAATATTTTAATAAAATTTATTTTAATTATTTTTATTAAAGTAAATTTAAGATTAAATTCTAAAGAAAAATAATAAACTTTGATTAAAATTACTATAATCCTATTGCAATTAATTAAAGGTAAATTTATATAATTCTCTATGTAAAATAAATATTCTTATCCATGATAAATATGGATTAAGTATTATCTTAATAATAATTATCATAAAAATATCTTTATTAAATAATTAAATTATTTTTAATTTAGCTATTTTTTTCACAATATTTTTATAACGATTCTAAAATAATTTATTGATTTTTAAATAATTTTTAAAGTCCTATTTAAAATAAATAAAAAATATAACATTAAAAAAATTTTATCTGTATCTTCTGTAAAAATGAATTTCAAATGATAAATTTACTGAAAAAAATCAAGATTAATAAAGAAACTTATAATATAAATAATTAGTTTATTTTCAATTAAAGATTCATTTGCTCTTTAAAAATAAAATAAAGCGAAGAATTTTTAAGGGATTCTTATTATAATAAATAACTTCAGAACTAATTTTATTTATTAGTTGCTTAAATGGGAATAAACAAATAGAATATTCATTTATCAATTTGCATGTTAATTAATAAATTTTTAGATTCTATCTACTAAATAGATCAAAAAATAATTAAAAAGAAGCTATGATGAATGAAAATCTTTTGTAAATTAATAAATTTATCATTTATTTATTAATTAATAACAAAATATAATTTTAAAAGACTTTGAAAGCATAACAAATAAGTAAATTGATCATTTTTTTTTTGTGATTTAAATTCCGCAAACAAACAATCAAACAAAGCATGCTGATAGAAGAAACTGACAAATGAATAAAAATAGAAATTAGCGAATTATTGAATATAAAATCAATAAATTTTTGAATTTTGAAAAGTTATTAAATAAATTAAACATAAATAGAAAGATAGATCAATTACTTTAAATTAAGATAAATAGATAGATAGATAGATTTCAAGCGATTTAATTATAAAAGTAGTGAATAGGATAGATTCAATTAATGGATTAGTATTAAAGCAGGATTGATTTATCAGGGTACAACTAGCAAAATTAGTAGTAATAGCAATCAATTGCTTATGAATTTCCTATTGGCAAAGAAGGCAAAAAAAAGGATTTTATTGCAGGAAGCCCTATAAAACATGATGATAATGACTTAGGAGAACCTTCTCCAGTTTATTTAAAAAATGGTACAAGGAGTGATAGAAAATGCAGGGATTTTATCTGTTTAGTGATATTTTTGTTCTTTATTTTCTATTACGTACTAGTTTTCTTTGAAATGCTGTCAGCAGATTTTTAATTCGAAAGAATATCTGTGCCATATGATCCAGATCGTAAATAATTTAAGATAAAAAATGTCAATCAAATAATTTAAAAATAAACAATAGATAGACCATGTGGCCATAAAGAATACAAAGAACATAAATATTTATTTTTTGCTACTCCAGATTCCAATTATCTTTATAGAACTGTGTGCGTTAAAGAATGTCCTAAGAAATTGCCTCAAGATTTGACAGGTTATTCTCTAGAATGTCTTCCCAACTCAGTTATTCCTAAATGCGAATATAGTCCTACAAAAGACCCAAATTAACAGTTTCTAATTTACGAAACAACAGAATGTAATTTAAAATATAATAAGCTATGAAAAAACAATATTAAATTATTAACAGACTACAACAGCATTTGTTTACCAGTAGATAAGCATTATTTTGAAGAAATTAGTCCTGCACTTTCAATCAATAGAGTTTATGCTGAAGTAGGAAATATCATAAAAATATTGCATATAATTATATTAGCAGCATTCTTAAGTTTTGTCTTTGGGTAAAAACAAACTATTTATAAGGTTCAAACCATAATTATTAATATCAAATATTTTAATAAAGATTAATATTCTTCGGATTTTTAGGCTAGTGCGGTGATTTATTGACTTGGGTTTTCATATTTAGTTTTGTTTTGTTTATGGCTCTGCTTGGAAGTGTATTATTTTTAAGAGGATCTGGTAGCTATATTCCGTAATGATAGCAATTTAAATAAAAAAATAAAATCTAATAAATAAATAAAATAATTATTAAATAAATTAGAATCATAGAAAATCCTGAAAATTAAGATGAACTTGTATACATTGAGAAAAGAATAAGTGAATTGAGAAATTTTGAACCATATTTCTATGTTACTGCTTTTATATGTTGGATATCAAGCTTTACTATTCTTGGTTTAGTTATTTACTACCATAGAAAAATTAAAATAATTGCATCATAATTAAAAGTAAATCTTTAATTTTTCAAAACTGCAAATATTGAGAATGAAAAAAACATTTAAATTTTAATTAGATATCAGCTCATTTCATATTACAGAACCAGCTCATTCTGATAGTTCCTTTTGTTTTGTTTGTCATTCTATTGAGTTTTTTCATATTTTGGGTCTATCTTAACATGTAAAAATATATTTGAGTAATAATTTCAACTGATTTTACTTTGAAAACAGATAAATTGTTGGAACAGGAGTAGTTAAATCTACTTAGAATAGAATGCCATTTGACCAGTTTGAAATTACTAAAGGATAAATATTGAAGCTATTAATTAATTTAATATTTATATTGATTTTTAGAGGATTCTTGGTTGGATGTAGTGATTTCTTGATTACTTCAGCTTGCAGTTTATGGTATTACAAAAAGGAAAAAGATAACATAAATACACTCAAGTAAATAAATAAATATAATAGTAGCACTTAATCATTTTAATTGAATATTAAATTAATTAATTAGGATTAGTTTAGAGAGATTATTTAAGTATCATCTTGGATCTATTGTTTTTTTAGGAACTGTAAGTACTTTGTTGGACTATCCTATCAGAATATCCAATTTGATTTGTGTAATTAATTGGTTTTCAGTAAATGTATAAAGCAAATATAATATATATTCAAATAGGATTACTTGACAAATATAAAAAGAAAAGACAAAAATGACTGTTCGTATTATGCAGCCTCTATAACACTCTGCGGATGCTTATGCTTTGATAAATTCTTGAGATATATGAATAGATATGCTCTAATCTTTATATCTCTTGCTGGTGATAGCTATTATGATTCTTCTAAGCAATCTTATTATCTCCTAAAAAGACATAATAGAAGATTTAAACTTGTCCGTAACTTAGGAGGAACTTTCTTTACCATTTCTAAACTCTTTTTAGCTTTACTTAGTTCTTTAATATGCTATTTTGTAGTTATTTCTCTGCCTCAATATTATTAAAAAGTTTCAGATTTACTCTCTCCAACATTAGTAATTTATTTTTAAATATTTATCACTTCAACTTTATAAACTTTGTTTCCATTTTTGTCATTATAAATTCAAATTCTTAAATATTTTTAACAAAAATTTAAAACTTTAATAATAATTGAGTACAATGCTTAAAAAAGAAATGATTACATTATAAGAAAAACATTAAATTTTTTATAAAAAATAAAAATAGGCATTTTTCATTTTATCTTATACTACGGCTTCATTCTTTATTGATGTTTATTCAGAAACATCTACTTCACTAATTTTGATCTCATATATTGATGAGGAAGTTGAGAAGTACCACTATGGAAAAGAAGATGTATACAATTGTCCTCACATAATCAGAGGTTACTTAAATAGCATAAGAAATGCTAGAGTTTGAAATATATTAAATAAACTAAAAACAAACAAATAATTTCTTAAACAAGAATTAAATTAATTACTTTCAATTGCTTTATTATTTATATTACATTTTCCATATGTTTAACTATTATTTTTTCATTTAGATAGTATTTCAATTATCTTTTTTTTATTAAACAAGAGTCAAATTTCTTTATTATTTAAGGCTAAACAGTAATAAACAAGTAAGCACACACTAGTTCTTTTTATTCTAATTTTAAATCATAATAAAGAAGTTTCTTTTCAATAAAGAAAAACACATTAAAAAAATTTTTTTTTTTGATTGACTAAGAAAAGATAAAAACAAATGAATGAATGAACATAAAAAGAATTTTATAAAAAATACATAGTAATTATTTAAAACCATTAAAAATAAATAGTTATTATTTATTGATCATTTTAATCAATTTTTCCTAAATCTTAATTCATCGTCATTTATAATGTGAACACAGATTTTAGGCTTTTCGAATGAGTTAGAGTGTTCGTATCCCATATGCCAATCATAACCAAGAGAATATGCAAGGAATTGTCCGGTTGAAGAGACGTTGCAAGCACTAATAGGTTGTTTGTTGAAGGCAAAGGATTTAATCTTATTTTTGTGCTCGAAATCCCAGAAATACATATTGCCATCTGAGCCACAGGTCAATAAAAATTAATCTTGACGAGGGTTAAAGCAAATAGAGTTTACTGGATATAATATTTGGTTTACAACGTTGTTTTGCTTTTCTTCATTTTTATGACATTTGAAGGTCATAATGTTATCGATCTTATATCCTGCAACATTATTTTAGTTTTAGGGAGTAAGTTTGCCAAGATTTGCTCTTCCATCAATAGAGCCAAGACCAAAACCATTACCTTTGCACATAATTTTAATGCTATTTATTTAACTTCCCTTTCCAAGAGGAGAATCTATGTAATTAATTTAATGAGGACTAAGATTTTAGAAATTTGATTACAAATTGATAAAAGTAATCACTTCGCCCTACAAGCCTAATGCCAAAATTGGGAATAAGCAATCAGCAGCGAAAATTTTTCCCTTCAATTATATTTTAGCCAAAGGATTATTAGGATTTTATTCTGACCAGAAGCAAACAGTAGTGTCAAAAGAACAAGTAATTACAGCTCCATTTAATTATTAGACGTAGAAAATAGATCTAATACCTGCTTAATGTTGTCCTATATTATTTTATATAAAATTGAATATTAATTAACACATTAAAGCTAAAATAAAATATTTATTAATTGAATATCTCTATCTCATTTTTCACCATTTAAACTTACTTTAACAACCTTAATTTGTTTTTTGTTTTTTTTCATTAACTTTATTCTGTGATAAATCAATCTTATTAATCTTTCATATGAAGTAAAAGCTCAAATTTCATTTTAACGCATTTATTTTACTTTTATTTTTCTTCATTTATTGTATTAATTATTCTGAGTTGAAGAGGTGTAATATGCTTAGTTATGATATTAATTTTATTTCATCAGTTAGATTATAAAGAAAGAAAACTCACTAAAATTAGCGATGTTCTTTATCTAAATTAAATAATCTATATTGCAATTTTAATATGATTGAATTATCTTTAATTTAGTTTTTCATTTTTTAATAGAGTTAGGCTTGATGGATTAAAGATTTGATCATAATTATTCAAAAAAATAAAGTTAATGTATTACCTATTTTAGCACTTTATCCATTACTTAAATTAAAGAGTACAACTGAATTATCACCACAACCTGCATAGATAGCTTATCCATCACCTCTCCATGCAATGCAGGTAATAGGCTCGTTGTATTGCATCTAACTAACTTATTAGAATTATCCAACTATTTAGTTGAAATTTTGTTAGACTGCGATTTAATAAATGTGAATCTTGCCATCCCAAGTCGAACAAGCAAACATTTAGGGATTTTAAGGATTGAATTGAATGTCAGATACAGTGTCTTAAGGCAAGTGCTAGGGATTGTTAATTTGAATATCTTGCAAAGAGGCATCCTATTATTATTGCTAAGGCTAGTTCATGATTTGGATAAATTAATACTTATTTGCTCACTAATATTTACTTTTGTTATATTTTATTAACAATAGTTTGTTTGTTTGTTTGCTTTTTTAATTAGAATCTAAACAATTTAATTGAGATATTACTTTTATATTGCTATTTGCTTCTAAATATAAATAAATAAATAGATTTTAATACACGCCAAAATAAAGCAAAATAAATAAATAAATAATCTTTACTAGATGCACATATTTATGAATAAGCATAGATATATATATCTTCCTTTTTTTATTTGGCTTTCACTCCAAATCCATAGTCACTTTCTTTATATTAACTTCCAAAAATTAAATTCCTTTTAAGTGAATAATTTGATATAGATGCGCATATTGAAATAATTCAAATCTTATTTAATGCATTATTTTTTTCATTCTAATACTTAGTAGAATATCTTTTTTGTAGTAGACCGACCGTAACCAAAATTTCAATTAAAGGAGACATTAAAATATCTTTAATTATTTAATGTCTGTCTGTCTCTACCAAATATTCATTCATTTTCATAAATCAATCAAAACATAGCCAATTAAAAAGGATCTCTAAAAATTATTTTCAATTTTATTTTTTTATTGAGTAAATTATTCTTTTAATGGATATTTTCATGCTATTTTAATTTTATTATTTTAAAATCTATTTAAATAAGAAAGATTTCAAATTTCAGCCTTCTTAAAGTCATCCCTAATTGTACTTTATTTGAAATTAGAATTCAAAATTATAGCATTTTTAAGTATTAAGTTCTAATGAATGTGGAAAAATAAGCTTTATATTTATTATGATATTTTTTTAAATCTATATTCATTTTTGAATGAAAAAAAATTATTATTTTACAATAATTTTATTTAACTTTTTATTATAAAATATTTGTTATCATTTTTTAATATTAATATTTAATTATCAGATTTTAAATTTGAAATATATAATAGATTTTTATTTTATTATATAATATGCTTAATTATTTTAAAATAAAATATTAATAATTTATTAGGCGTTTAGCTATAATAAATTTACTAAGAGTCAAACTAATTCATATCTTCCACTTAAATAATATGTATTTTATTTAAGGTTTTTGAACTAAGTTTAAAAAGATAGTAAGAGGTTATTCAGAGTTTCTCAAACAAAAGCTTTAGAAATTAAACCTTTCGGCTTTGATTCGAGTATTTAATTAGGAATTTCTTTTTTATTAGTTGAAAAAGTAAAAGAGTTAATGGAGTGTTTCTAAAAGACTTTTTAAAATAAAATCATAATCAGTCAAAGCTTATATCGAAGTAAGTAATTCAAATGAAGCTAGGAAATTTTACAATAAAGTTTTATAAGTTCACCAGAAACAATTTGAATCTTTTATTTTCTTCTTATTTTAAAATTAGAAACTGTATAACAACTTCGACAAAACAAATGAATATAATATTTATTCTAACATCTATTGAAGAATCATTTATGATTTTATCAAAATGGATGAAGAAGTCAAAAAATTTAATCAAAAGCTTTAGAATTCAAACCAAAATTATTTTAAGCATTCTTTTATTAGAAGTGGGATCAATGAATGAAAATATTGAAAAAGAAGCTGTAACCTTTTTATTGAAAGTTTATGATATTTTTTCAAATTATTTTCAAATAAATAAATTAGTAGGATTATTTCATTTATAAAATGGAAAATAATATTAGGCAAAATAAATGCTATTTTTAGTATTTCTTATTAAATCAACCCTCAAGATTATAAATAATAAAATGATATTCTTATATAACTTTAGTTAAGCTGAAACTTCAAAGCAAAATTATTAACATTTATACTTTTTATCTATTTGTTTCAATTTTTTTATTTGTTAAAATTATTTTTTTTAAGTTTTAACTGAAATCATATTAAGAAAAAAGAAGTGTATCAATTTTTAAAATTCTTATTTTTTCTAAAAAATATTTTTCGTACCCAATCTCTAACTAAATATTTATTCTTCATTTTCTTTATTAAAAATATATAATAAAATCCTTTTTAATACATTAGATTAGATAAATCAATCAATCAATCATATTGTTAATTAAAATATAAGAAAAATAGTCAATTACTTTAAAATAGATGGCGAAATAAAAAATATATCAACCAAAAGCTCTTTGTTGATTAATCAAAAAGATTATATTGAAAACATTTTAGCAGATCAATCATCTCAAGTACTACTTATTTCGAATTTAGAAGATAGGTGCATATATGCGATTAAGGGAAATTAAGCTTAAATAAATGATGATTGTGCTTTTGCAATAAATATGGACTAATATCAACTTTAAAAATCATTTTTGGAGTTATTGTTTTTACCCTTTTACAGAAAAGTAAAAAAAAAATAAATAACACTTACTTTAGCTAAAGATTTAGCAAAAATTTAGAATGCGAATTGAGTAATAACCTAACAAAATTCGAAAATTCTTCCTTTTTTTGTCTGAAAAAGTATGTTTAAGTTTAGAAAAACTATGTTTTCAACCTCTTGCAAAAATGGAAAAAAGGAGTAGCAATCTCACAATTTGAATTTAAGGTAAATACTGTTTATGGTTTTATATTATGATTAATTCTAAATTTAATAAAAAAATAGGCTTAAGCAAGTTTAAAATCTCTATTATTTCCTAAATAAGCCATTTTTATTGCTGAGAAATAAATAAATAGATGAAGAATATATATCTACCATTATTATAGAAAAAAAGCAAGCAAAGATAAATTATTTTATTTATTTTAGTTGGCTTTACAAAATAAAGCTTAATCATATAAAATATTTAAAAGATTTTAATAAAATAACTCTAAAAATATTCTTTCTAGCTTCATTTTAACATGCTTAGATACTTAAAAAAGCCTTCCTCAGAATTATAGTTAAAATCCAAGTTTGAAAAAAGTTGAAAAAGGTGTTGAGATATCAGCGAAAAAGAATTTCCATAAAAAATAATGTTAATAATATAATTCTAAGTAATTAATGCATATATATATTTATGCTTTTAAACATTATTTAGAAGTTTTTATTAATCATATTTACTGCTTTTTAAAAATAAAATAAAGTTTCATTCATTCGTATGATTCTTTTTAATATAATTAGTGAAATTTAATATTCTATTTATTTTCCCCCCCTCATTTACTATTAATAATTTAAAATAAAAATAAATTAAATTATTTATTAATTATAATTATATTATAATACATATATATATATATATATATATATTAAATTTTTTAATAAATAAATAAAAAAATATATTTCATAAAAAGTGGAATACAAACCATGAAATTTTTGTATGGCATCTTGCTATATTAGAAATATTATAAATATTCCCAAAATTACAAAACTAAAACAGAAAAATCTACTTATAAACGTTATTCTTATAAAATTTAAGAACATTAACAACTAGAATTTTTTCAAATAGGACTAAATAAATAACTGACCATCTCTAATTCTTACTATATATATTTTTAAGCGTTTGTTTTAAATACAAATATTAAGTTTAAATAGTGAATGTTAAATTAATTTTTCTGTGATATCTCTTCATAAAACCAAATTATAAATTTATATTTGATAATTAATTCATTATTATATTTATTTGTTCTTTTTATCCATTTATAATTAATTAATTAATTAATTAATTAATCAAATTTAATAAATTGCTATTCAATATTTTTGAAAAATAAATAAATGATATAATAGATTAAAAAATATTACGAATTAGAAGAAGTAATTATTAATTTTTATATTAATATCCTTTAAATTTATTTTAATTTATAAAAAAAGTTTTTAAGGTCTTCACATTTACCTCATTAGATTCTACATATTGATCTCAAGTATATTTAATTAAAAGATATTATTTTTATTATTATTAATATTTTTTGTATATTTAATTTTCAATTTATTTAAATAAATAATTTTTATTATAGAAATTATCATTATTATTTAATGATTTTTATTAAAACAAAAATTTTTTAGCTATTATTTTAACTTAATTTTCATTTAAATTTTTAATTAATTATTTATTATTCATTTTGTATTATTTGATACTTTTTCTTCATTTTTTGCTATTAAAATTTACACTTAATAAAAGCAGTTTATTTGATTTGCATTTTAATATTTTTAATTATAAAAGTTAATTTAAAACATTAAAGCTCTTTTAATTTATTTGATTTGTTTACCTTTTTCTTTTTATTATAATTTCTTATTTTTTGATTCTTTGTTAATTTTATTTATTATTAATTAATCTTATTATTTCATTTTTTTTTTTTCATTTTTCCCTCCTAATTAACGAGCGAAATGCCGCCTTTTTAATTTATAAAAGGCGAAATGTAATATATCTTAATAACTTGATATAAAGCTAAATTAGCTTAAATTAGCTTTACTTTTGAGTTAATTGAAAGCTTTGAATTCAGAAAATGTCAAATTTGAAATTATATATACCCACATATTCTTATAACATATCATTTTTTTTAAAAAATATAAATTTTGATTAATAATAATACTTTCCCGAATAAATGTAGCCTATTGAACATGAGAACCCCCCCCCCTTTTTTTTTTCTTATTTTATTTTATTTTATTTTATTTTTTTTTTATAGTGATTCTTACAATTTTAGAATAGGACCATTGAAAATTGGTGATGAAGGTGCATCAGGCTTAGGTTCAGCTTTAGCAAAATGCATTAATCTCTCAAATTTGACACTTGACCTTGGGTAAAAACAGTTTATTTGTTTTGGATTGTGATATTTTTAATTATAAAAACTAATTAAAAACAATAAAGCTCTTTTTTCTTTTTCTTTTTATCTTGCTTGCTGTTTTGTTTTTTCTTTTTTAATTAAGCTCATCATTTATTTTATTCATTTGCTTTTATTATTAATTAATTTTATTATTTCATATTTTTTCTTCATTTTTTCATTCTAATTAACTATTTAATGATATATTTTTTCTTCAATATTTAAAAAGGTCTAATTAAATTGGTGCAATGGGTGCATCAGGCTTAGGTTCAGCTTTAGCAAAATGCATTAATCTCTCAAATTTGACACTTGACCTTGGGTAAAAACAGTTTATTTGTTTTGGATTGTGATATTTTTAATTATAAAAACTAATTAAAAACAATAAAGCTCTTTTTTCTTTTTCTTTTTATCGTGCTTGCTGTTTTGTTTTTTCTTTGTTAATTAAGCTCATCATTTATTTTATTCATTTGCTTTTATTATTAATTAATTTTATTATTTCATATTTTTTCTTCATTTTTTCCTTCTAATTAACTATTTAATGATATATTTTTTCTTCAATATTTAAAAAGGTCTAATTATATTGGTGAGGAAGGTGCATCAGGCTTAGGTTCAGCTTTAGCAAAATGCATTAATCTCTCAAATTTGACACTTAACCTTGGGTAAAAACAGTTTATTTGTTTTGGATTGTGATATTTTTAATTATAAAAACTAATTAAAAACAATAAAGCTCTTTTTTCTTTTTCTTTTTATCGTGCTTGCTGTTTTGTTTTTTCTTTGTTAATTAAGCTCATCATTTATTTTATTCATTTGCTTTTATTATTAATTAATTTTATTATTTCATATTTTTTCTTCATTTTTTCCTTCTAATTAACTATTTAATGATATATTTTTTCTTCAATATTTAAAAAGTGAAAATGAAATTGGTGATGAAGGTGCATCAGGCTTAGGTTCAGCTTTAGCAAAATGCATTAATCTCTCAAATTTGGCACTTAACCTTGGGTAAAAACAGTTTATTTGTTTTGGATTGTGATATTTTTAATTATAAAAACTAATTAAAAACAATAAAGCTCTTTTTTCTTTTTCTTTTTATCGTGCTTGCTGTTTTGTTTTTTCTTTGTTAATTAAGCTCATCATTTATTTTATTCATTTGCTTTTATTATTAATTAATTTTATTATTTCATATTTTTTCTTCATTTTTTCCTTCTAATTAACTATTTAATGATATATTTTTTCTTCAATATTTAAAAAGGTCTAATTAAATTGGTGATGAAGGTGCATCAGGCTTAGGTTCAGCTTTAGCAATAATGCATTAATCTCTCATAATTTGACACTTTACCTTTAGTAAAAACCAGTTTATTGTT